CAGCCTCCGGACGGCGGCGCATCCCCGGCAAATCTAAAAGGACCGCCAAAATGGCGATCCTTTTAGATTCTGCCGAAAGTGCACCCTAACAGCGGCGGGCGCACTTTCGGCGGCTCAAACGCCACGGTGCGTTCGGCTGCCACGGTGTGAGGGCAACCCGCTGTCGCCGGCCGTGCGGACAGACGGCGCTTCCGGGTGCGCCCTCAGGAAGAGGAAGAGCCGCCGAACGTGCGGCGGCTCCTCCTCTTCCGGGCCTCGGAGACAGCGCAATTAGCCGTCTGCCGAGGCCCTTTATTGATCTAGCATTTATATCCTGCCCTATATTTCAGGGTGGGGCACATACAACAACTAGTAAACAATGTAAAACCATATAGTAATTTATATTAGTGGCTGCCTACATTGGAGGTTTAGAATTTGACCCCTTCCTCTCTTTGACATGTTGCTCAGCGAAGTTATGTCTTGGACAGTTCAGAAGCTTCATATAGCACAGCCACCAGTACACACATTATTTGTATCTATTGTTACTGCTGATCTTTAGTGCTTGAGGCTCTTTTTTTCCCATAAGGGCAAAAGATGAAACTAATGCAAGTAATGTGGCCATAAACTTCACAACATTAAAACCAGCACATGAGGGGAATCCTGCAACAACTATTCTGTATACACATGCAAGGGAAAGAAAATAGAAATGGATTGACAGTTTTGTATAAATGTATGTATACATAAAATAAAAATGACCATCATTATATTTGTATCTTTCAAAAATATATCAACTTATATAGGAGTTTAATACAATGTACTTTTCTATATTGGGCAGAGCCACACATTTCAACAGAGACCTCACCTTCCTTTCACTTTCTGTTTCTGTGATGGAGTGTGAGAAGAGGGCAGTTTCTTGCTGCATGAGTAAGATTATAAAGTATAGAAAGCCTCAAACACCCCCCCCCTTTGATCTAGTTAAGGAATTAGGCTGCTCAACCTTTGCAATAAAACTCTTTCACCTCCCTTGTCTCCCCTGGACTCATTTGTTGTCATCACAGTGGTACCCTCCTTACTGTGTTTTAATTCCAGTCTCTAATCTCAGTGCTTCTGTGATAAATTAATTGTAATGATAGAGGCCTCAGTTACGAGGGTTGCTCCGCTTGCTTGTAATCTGAGCGACAGGTTTAGGGCCTGCTTTATTTAAGATGCAAGGGTAATTACATGGGAGTTCGCATATGCAGGCAGAGAGATATGATTCATTCTTACTGCGACGGCCATGACACAGCTGTTTGTCGGATAAAATAGAGGAGCCGTGTTGTTACAAAATGTTCTCCTTATTATACCTCATTAAAAACAAGGCTGCGATAAGTCAGGCCTGGCAATGAATAAAACGTATTGCCCCCTGTAAAAGCTGATAGGAAAGATGGGGGCTCGCCCAAGCAGTATTGGGTCATTTATTTATTTTTGAGACCTGTGACATTTCCTTTACATTCTCCCTCTTTTTGTACTTCTGCATTGTACCTTTCCTGTCTGAAGCCCCCCAAAAGAGATTTCTTTTTTTCTTTCATGTCCATTGATTTTATTCCTCCTCCCAGTGCTTCCCTGCTTTTTCTCCAGTGTTAACAGACAACATAAAAAGCAAGCAGAAGCAATTAGCAAACACTTTTTCCAAGAACAAAAGAAGGGATTTGTTCTTCTTAACCCAACATAAGTTGTTCCTCTTCACCTTTATCAAGAGCAACAGGCAGCTAGAAGGGAAATATCCTTATAGGGCCTGACACCTTCAAAAGTTGGTTGAAAAAGGAGGGTGAAACCCTTTCAGCCAAGAGAAAATGTCCTCTCTATTGTTCCCCCATCCCAGTTCTTTTTGTACTTTTTTTATTTCTAATAGCCTTAAGTTTAAAGTGTGTTTTTCTCCCTCTGTGCTCTTTTTCAATCTGAAAAGAAACAAAATAGTTGAAACAATAAAATGACAACCTGAAAAAAATGATTGAGTTCTAAGAATGGCATCAGGGCAAGCTGTCGAGAAAAGGGCTCTCTGAACTGGCTTGCAGGAGCAGCTGTATAAAGCCTGTATCTGCAAGAGTGCCTGGATGTTGATGTTCAGTGAAGGGCTTTGGCTTGTGCACGAATATACTCTTTAAAGTGTTGCACTCTGCTAGGCATTTAGATTAATTATTAATTTCTTTGTCATTCTTCTGGCCTCATGGTGTTTCTTAGTTTTGACTATACTGAGGGGAGAAATGGAACAGGTGAGGAAGAGCATTATTTTCTTCCTCTGCCAATGCCACTAACATTCCCTGTAACTTGCATGGGAAAACTCAGGACAGCATTCTGATTCTGTGGGTTGGCAATATTGAGTCCTGTTCTTAGGACGTTATCACACGGGGTAAATCTGCTGGTTAATCCACACAA